CTTGGAAATCGTTCTCATATCGCTGCGCGGTGAAGTCGTGTGCAGTGAGGCCGTCTGCTCAGGGGTGAACGGATAGGTAGTAGCGTCCAGGTTTTTGCTTCTCGCCTGGGAAATTGTGGCCTGGCCGAAGCTGTCGGTTCTGTGTTCCGGGTCCAGGAAGGAGGGCGTACCCGCTTCAGTATTGCTGAAGTCCACGCCAAAGAAGGGGTCCAGTCCATCGTCCATATCGCTGAAGTCGCTCGAATGATATTGGCTATAGTTAGAGATAGACTCTGCTGGAGTATCGTTATAGTTGGGTGAGACGGAGCTGCTCTGCAACTGAGACGAAGGCGAGAGATGATTCGGGTCAAATGAAGTGGCAGTCAGTCGTCGTTGACCACTACTTGGTGGGGAGGGGTTGTGGGCATCGCTAGCTTGTCCATCGTGCAAGGCCGCGGGAGGTACGGCGTATGTCGAAGCCATGGCCACGACACAACGCGAGTGTATGGGGGGAGATTGTAGGAGAGGCTGATCGTGATATATAGGTTGGCTTGATGTAAAGGTACGGTAAATCAGGCGAGATGGAGCCAAAGCTGAGGACGGAACTACTCTTTGAGAGTTGTTAGAAGACAAGCGCTGTCATGTTCCGACTTGATTGTGTTGGTTGAATTGGAAGCGATCAACTGAGCAGGCTGAAGGTGGGGTTAGGCGACAGTCGCAACAGGGCTCCAGGAAGCAGTCTTGCACCAGTTTGTGGATTGGAGCAAAAGGCACGAGACTGTGTTGACAAGGCGATGCGATACCACAGAGCAGTTGAATGTGGAGGAGGAAAGCAGTCGCCAGCGAGCAAGGGAAAAAGCCACGAGAAGAAGATGTGGTCGTGGAGGGCGGCGGCGTTTGCGCGGCCTAGATGTGTTGGTCGTTTCTTTCGTCCAGCGCTTATGCTTTTCGCTGATTGTGTATTCGTACAGGCGACGTGGGGAACAACTGGGTCAAGCAACAAGCAATAGATCAAACTTGTCTAGGTATGCGAGCATTAAGGTGCTGAGGTGATTTCGAAAGCAAAAGAGTTGTTTGCGGCGTTTCGCGGTGAGGCTGAGTTGAGGTCGGTGGCAGAGAAGTATAGCCAAGATGGAAAGAGTGACAGTCGACCGGTGGAAGAACGGGGGGGTGCGAGGCGGGATATGCGATAGAGTATCCGCGGGTCTTGTGTAAAGAAGCTCAGGAATCAGGGGTATGCGAGGGGGTGTACAAGACTCGATGAGATCATGCAGAGACAGTAGAACGAGGCGGAAGAGAGCCTAGGACCGGCGCATGGGTTGAATGTGGCAGAGTCGCGAGCCGGACGGGAGGCAGAGGAGGGGAGAAGGGGAGAAAAGAGTTGGTGAGACTTGTAAGAGAGAGGGAAAGGGAGAGATGATCTTGGGATGACGAGGGGAGGGATGGTTGGATAGGCGTAAGGTACGAGTACCCAGCGGGCTAACCTTGGAGAAGTAAGAGACGGTTGGGGGTGGGGATGCGATTGTGACAAGACAAGCGCGAGACAGGACGGAATTCAATCTCGAGGAGGGGCGGAAACCAATTAGAAGCAAGGTACCTGACCTACCTACCTTAGTTAATAAGGCAATTAGGCGGACATTTGCAGGTGGTGGTGGTGGTGCATGGCGAAGGTACGAAGGTGCGACCCAGGGTCAATTGAAGCTCAAGATGGGAAGGGCTAAAAAGTACAGTACCTTTTTTTTTTTTTACCTTTGGTAAAGATAGAGTACCTATTTGCTCTATACTATCCGTACCTTGGGATGAGGTACCTTGGGTAATTCTCAACACGAGCAGAAATGGAAAGCGAGAGAAAGACTCAGGAGAAGTGACACTATGGGAGCATGAGAGTTTCGGTACCTTGAGGTAGCTTTTCCCACTGCCCGCCAACCCACACACCCATTGAATTAGACTTGGGCAGTCTGCCTGGTGTCTCTCACTCTCCCGTCTCTCATCCAGGTTCAGCTGTCGCGTCCGGTCCGCCCTCGACGTTCAGGTTCCATTGTCTCAGTGAATAGGAAGCGTGTGGGCGGTACCTTAGCGGTAGCATGCCGGCCACTTGCGCAGCCCACCGAAGCGGGAATGCGCCACAACGCTGCCCTCTTGTCACCTAGGTTCTTTACCGATACTACGATGTCCTATGGCTACGGGGACGGAGGATTAAGGACGGACTACCTAGTGGCTGGGTACGGACAACAACAAGGTAGAGATGGCATGCGGAATTGCTGCTCGTCTGTTCGCATCGTTGGTTCAGATTTGGTTCTCAAGTGTTCGGCCGAAATCTGGAGGAACCACGCCTTCTTGATCCCGAGACTCGGTTTGTACGGTCGAGAATCGCGATATTGTCAGATCAGGTACCTGACGTGCTGACCCAACTTGGACGAGTCGTGATATATCGCTATCTTGCCATGTTCTCATGCAAGAACCTTACATATCTCAGAATGCCTTGCCTTGGTAATGCTCCTGCTTCATGCTCCATGCTTCCTTCCCGCTCATATTCATGTCGACTGCGACTTCCTCATGGCTCATGCAGCAACGCTGCCCCGCTCCGTCATGTGGGGCATTTGGGAGACTCCGAGAACTGGAAGGAACGCTCACGTCTCTGAGTGGTTGATAGCTCAATACAGCGGTACATATCCCTTAGCCTCAGTACATGTACGAAGTACCTGTCCACAGGCGCACTCGCTCGTAGGGCGGAATGGGGGCCGGGAGCGAACCAGGAGCGAACCAGATGGCAAGGGACCTGAGACCACCACCCACACCCACGGCAAATCAAAGTATCGTCCTAATTCTTCCATTTGCGCGAGGCGTTCTTCTTTACTGTCGTTGGGCGCATTTCTCTCAGCCCCAGCCCGCAGGGCAGTTTTACCTCTCCACTGCAACTTTGCAACTGGAACTCCCGACCGACCGTCCTCGACCTCAGACTCAGAGTAACCTCGGACCTCACACACTCATCCCGTCACCCACTCCCCGTCTTACACTTGCGCCGCCGTATGAGCAGGGATCCAATACCTACATCCATCCCACCTCATGTCTGCCATCTGGCAGCCCACCACATCTTGTCGCACAGATGCAAGCTACTGTGGCTTACTTCTGTCCCTCCACTTAGGTCACGCTCTGCTCTTACGCTCAGCGTCCGTCGCTGCACCTCACAGTACCTTAGTAGATGGGTGGCTGGATTCTTGTCCCTGGGCTTGATAATGCCACAAGATTAGTGTCATCTCGACCTCGATACGACATTCGGTCATCGACCATCGATAAACCTTGGGTCAGCCTGTGTTCACCGAGAAGGCAGATTTCCACTTCCGGCCCTAGCTTCGTATAGTCCCTCTCACATTCTATCACCGATGCTGTCCGCCCAACACCTCATACCGACCACATACCAAACCCTTGAAAAGCGCTCGTCAGACTTACCGGCTTGCAGACGCTTGATGTCATCCGACGGCATGTGCTTCTCGCTGAAAAGCTGCGGTAACGTACGAATGCATGCCCTTGTGGCAGATGCTACGGATAGGCATCAGCCCCTAAACAGAGTGCCGCGAATATCGACAATTGTTTCCGCTTAAGGGTCGCTCATCCATATGGCAGCAGAAACGCTTTCAGCTCGGTCGCCATATCGCTCTCGCATTCAAGAGTCTAAAAACCGAATAACCCCCCATTATCCGCTCTGCACAGGGTACGAAATACTGGGGAAAGCGACATTGGCTAGTGGGGCCTAGCACCATTATGCACAGCCGCAGCCGCCGCGATGGAACTCGGATATTTCAGTCGAGTTGGGGATCCTGGGCGAAGCAGAAGCGCTGTGTTTTTGAGCTTGACCGCTAGCCTGGCGGTGCACTCCGCCGGTCGCCGCTCCAAACCCGCGGCATCAGGGTTGCGCAGCGCCATAAACATCCCCGACCCGTCCGTCCATATCGGCGACGCCTCACGCGTTGCATTGAAATACCGGCGTTTTAATGCTCGCTTGTTGGTCTCCGCGTCTTATCTGCGGCTAATAATGATGCTCCCGCAGACCTTGATATGTATATTTATTCGTGCTCTTGGAGTGTGCCTCGAGTGAAGTCCCCATCTTCCGCCTGATCCGCGAATGGTGGGCAAGTCTCCATTAACGAGCGCCTTTCGTAAACGCGATCTCTCGGCGGTTAACTAGATTAAATCTCATCTATAAGGCATGTTCTATCGCGGGATAGACGCAGCGAATGCGTCGGTTCGACACGATGCCGAGTATGGAAAACTTTCGGCGACCTGGAACCATGAATGGACACCAAGACGTATGGATCATAAAGCTAACGGATGACCTAGACTTGAACCAGACTTCTGTCAAGTCTCCCAGGCCCTGAGAGCCTCTCGAGATCTCGACATAAGTGCTATACACAAAAGAGCATGTAACCAAACAATTTTTTCAACAAATCCTGGGTGCATATATCACGGTACCTAGCCAGCCATTCTGCGTCGGCGGAAGAAAGGATGCTAAGTGTAAGAAGGTACGATGAACGTATCCTCGGGGACGTCTTGGGGGCTTATCTAATCACTGCACCTGATCCACCTCGGCGACGTCGTCAACCACCACCAAGAGCCAGGGTGGAGATCACCTGCCCAGAAACTCTAAAGCACTACACTTCAGCTCTCGATCTATCTACCTTACTCTGTATCTCTATGGCGATGGAGCCATTTCAGCCCTGAATTTCGCCATTCGTTGACTTGACTATTCGGCTCCCGCCGCCTTCCAATTGGCTTCGTTTCTTCCAGTGAAGGAGCCGTACAGATACTACGCAGCTGCAAAAGCGGCTCAGTCGCAATCCAATATAGCTCATCGAGACTGCAACCTCGTAAATATCCTGACCCGGACTGCTCGGGGACCAGCATCGTGGTATAAGAGCCTCTCAACACTTATCATTACAATGTTTCAGGTTCGTATTCCCATCTCGAAAGAGAGCATCTTCTGCAATCCCACATCGAGGTCTATAGTCACCGATTTTTTCGTAATGAACTACCGCAGCTCACCATCGCCTCTTCTCATCCTTACAGCCAAACCCCCAAGACCACCTTCACCTGCGCCTCCACCGCGCCCGTTCCGTGATCCTAACCGCCGAGGAGTGAGTCTCAAACTCCGTTCCTCTCAAAAACCTCTCCCATCATTGACAGTATTGACCCTTCCCCTCCCCGCGCCAAAAAGACTCGTCGAGATCCGCGCCGCCCAACGAACCTTCGAAGGCGCCTACATGCGCACAGCCCTCTCCCAATTCTCCTTCGCCCTCATCATCCTCAAAATCTTCACCTCGGAGTTCTACGCCATCGGCGCCCTGTTCGCCGTCTACGGCGCCGCCGTCATGCTCGTCGCCATCTTCCGCCGCCACGAGGGCAACCGCCAGTTCTTCACGAGCCCCAAGGTGGACGAGGGCAGCGGCGTCGCGAGCGGCGGCGTGGTGCGCAAGTTCCGCACGAGCGGGAACAGCGTCGCCATGCTTACCGTCTTGAGCCTTGCTGCGTATGTTACGCTTTTGGTGCTTACGTGGCAGCTTGTGCAGTGATGTGAGGGGTGAAAGGGGAAGGGGGGAGTTGGATGAGTAAGTAAGCTGGTCTGGGTTTTTGTGGTTTTTTTGTGATGGGAGGATGGAGTTTTGGTGACTACGGCTGGTTGTATCTCTTCTGTCTATAAAATGTACGAGGTCGCGGTGATTTACTCTCATTAAATCATGTACCCTGAATCTCAGATTCCGATCTTAACCACTAATTAAATCATCAAGGTTCTCCAGAGTAGACCAAAGACAAAGTCAGGGCTTTCCGTGACTTCTCTGTCCTCTGCCATATACTCTCAGCCTAGATATCAGAAACTCAGCGCCATGCCAAACATCCGATGGTCCAGAATCGCAACACAGATGTGGGTGACGGGTATCAGCAACACCAACCATATTGTCACTACCAATGGATACCCATCAACGGTGATCAGGACGTCGAATCCTTGGAGAGGTCTAGTCTCAACAATCAGATACTCGTACGCCTCAGGCAGCCTGTAATTTTGTCAGGGAAATGGGATCTCCGTCTACAACGTCACTAGAGGAAGGGGGTTGAAAGGTGTTTTTCAATTACGGGATCTTGATTTGAAGCAAGACAAAGGGGTACACATCACTGATGAAATGTCCGAAACTGGGTTCCCCGTCTCCATACGAAACAAATCGCGTCCAGTGAGAGTAATCCCATCCAAATTCAAACCTAAAGTTACTTGTTCACAGTGTATCTCAGTGAGCTAGACATGTCTCCTTGGCCTATCATGCATCATGCGTTGGGACTCGCGGGCATGGGTACCTGAGTGAGTCCAATGTAGGTATTTTCCGCCTAGTCTCGACCTTTACCGATCTCAAGGCCGTCTTCCCATCGACTTGGCATTTGGGGTTCATCACCGAATACAAAACCATGGACTGCCTCTCAGGGTAGAAGGGCAAACAGGTAAAAGCAACCCTCAGCGCGACCCCTCACTGCAAGAGCCCAACAGGGTTGTGAGCTTGATCTCACAAAGACAAGAAGAGAGCTTGATAGGTCCAAAAGTAAATTCAAGAGGACCAGAGAAGAATGAACGGGCTCAAAACCAAAATCTGGATTGAAGTATTCGCCACTTCCGAGGAAAGTTCTCGGAGGTTAGGGAATTCTATGTACTGATAAGACGCGCGCTCGAGAGAAAAGAAGGGCAAAGAAACCAAAACGGCTGTATGATAAGAATGTTGAACTGTGCATTGAAGGAGATTTGTTGAAGTGAAGAAGAGAAAACAGGAGAGGAAGCAACTAAAGGCGAGCAACAGGTAAGCGTCATGATGACGCCGGTGGTATAAAATGCGCGTGTGTCTCCAGACCCGACAAATGCGATCCCTCCCCTTTTTGTTTTCGAAGCCTGCCTCATCCACTTGCCGTCGCTTCTGTACTTCCCATAGCTCCTCAATGCTAGCTGCGAATATAAACACGAAAGGCAAAGGGAAGACTCTTCGTCCGACTGTACGGCGCTGCGGATCGCCGCGCCCGGCCCGAATCTCCCGTCTCACGGTGCGTTCCCGAGACAAAAAGTGACCTCGTATTCCGCCTAGGTATAAGTAGGCTCCCCCTCCCCGCTTGCTCGGCATCGACCATGCGCCTTGCGCTCGGGGCCCCGCAACATTCCTTCCGCGATGTGCTTGCATTTAAATCTGACGTCTGCCAGCAACACGTTTCGTGCGATCCCGGCGTTGCGGAGCCGTCATCGGCATGCCAGTGTCACTTGATCCTCGCTTGAAAATGGGGCATATGGTTGCTGTTGCTTTTGAATCCCTCAGACCCCCATTGATTGCTTTCTGTCGTTTCTCGTTCCAGGGCGGTCAAGGCTACCGTTTGGAACATTTTTTCCGGTTTCGCATGAATTTGAACTACTCTCCCATCTTTTCTACTTAGCCTTATGTTTGCTTAGGGTATTTTATTTTTCTCGTTCTTCTCTCTTTTCTCGGCCATGGGCTCCGTCTCGTCCCCTTTATGCCGTGTGCCAACTTCGATGGAGTTTGAAGCAGAAGAAGGATGTTTGGAACCGGGGTTCTCAGGGCTTTCCGTTGATGATGTAGCAAGGTTGTGGCTAGGAAGTGCCTAGCTTCCGCTACTGTTGTCATAAGTTGTCCAAGTGTCGTATCCCTCGGATGGCCTAGGATAGCCGTAGGGGGGCTGCTGCTGCTGCTGCTGTTGCTGTGGCCAAGTACCGTAACCTGAAGGCGGGTTGGCACCTGCAGACATGGAAACAGTGTGCGGGTCCATAGTTGGGAAACTTGTCGCAATCGGGTTCGTGTACATGTCGGTCGTCATCGCCGCCGAAGACCTTCTGGGGAACTGCCGGCCCTGGTGTGACATCGTGGGGTATTGTGTAGGTATCTGTGTGCCTCTTGGGTATGCCATAGGGTTCCCTATTGTGAATGACGAATAGCCCATATTGTTTTGAGCATTGATGTCTGCGTTGCTCCAGCTGGCCGACGGTGGGGCTTGAGATGTATACGGCGAGAACGACGGAGACGGAGTAATCGGGGACTGTTCAGCGTAAGACTTCTTCGTTTCCTTCAAGTCACCTGGCTTTGTTGCATAGTTGGAACTAACATCTGGTGATGCCCAGTTCGTGATTTGGGGATTCGCAAAATCGTAGGGCTGAGAAGACGCTGTAGTGCTCGAGACAGGCACTGTTCGCTTGTTAGCTATTTGACATGTCTCCGGGATGCGTGGAAACTGGCCTGTGGGGTCCTGACCAAGATTTCCGGCTGCAGAAGTCTGGATAGTTGTCGGTAGTACGTTTTGTGACGAGGGCAGAACTCCTCCTTGATGGTGCTGATAGTGTTGGGATCCTTCTGGGGCTTGTCTAGGAAGTACAACGGGAGAAGACGATGCGGAAGCGGTGTTAGATCCCCCGGCAGGTCTCGATTGCGCTTTGGGTTTTGCTTCAGTCATGTGAGACGGCGCCTGGTCTACAGGGAAGAAGCTACAGTCCTTCTTCAACCTGATGCAGTTCCTACATCGGCCATCACCTTGTACCTCTGACATTATGCACCGAATTTTCCGCCTGCGGCAATGTCCTTGACGTTGCTGCCGTCAGTACAAATTCAGAAGAGACGCGAGAGGACGGGCACAACACTCACCACAAGCTACCGAGGTCCGGTGATAGCCCAGCTTGTTCCTCTTCTTGTCCCCAGCTTGGCCAGACTGACTTGAATCAGAGATATTGGCCTGCCGCAGTCTGACATTAGGCTTGTTCATGGAGCGTTTCGATTTTCGACGACTCGCCTGTAAGATGGAATCTCTACGCTCCTGGTCTGTTGGCTCGTGGGTCCCCTGGTCCATCGATGCTTGGCCTGAGCCTGGTGCGTCGTAGCTAGGCGCGAAGCCAGAATTGGGGACCTCCATGTCGGAACCGAGGGGAAGAAAATGCGAAGGATATGGGTAAGACATGATGGAACCCTGCACTCCAAAGTCGGTGACGTTGCAAAGTCGAATCCTTCTCGGGAAGTTAGGTCCATATAAAGGTCGGAGACCTATACTGCTATACCCTTGATAAACCTGTTGATGTCGAAGCGTCACACGATAGAGATGCGGAAATGCGTTTCGAGGTGTTGGACCCTTTAGGCTGGCGATACAGTTTAGAATCCGGGCGTAACGTTGGTCGAGCCCTGCTGATGTTGGTCCGGAATCGAGGCTTCGTAGAAGCAATCAACGAAGATGCAGTGCGTTCTTGACGTTTGTCAACAGACACTTCTTCGAGGTGTCAACGAGGGGGCTACCCAAATGACGGGTCAAGATTTGCCGTTGATGTCGCGTTGGGTGCGGTACGGATAGAGCGCGGTTATGACCGATGCGGACACGGCACAAAGCGATGCCAGGGACGGACCAATCGAGATGATTTGAGTGGTCCAGCTAAGCTGCGAGTGCGGTAACGGCCAGGATGGTGTACCAAAGTCGGGAAGCTTTCTGAATGGGCTGCCGTCAAAATTGGGTCGGCTCCCCAAGTTTTTCCCGGTTCCGTGGGCTGATGATTACCACCCAAGTTGGGTAGGAAGGGGGTAGTCTAATAACAGCAACTGCAGACAGCGTATACCTGAATTCTCTGCGTTGGGATGCGTGTCATGCCGCTGTGGAAGTTTATATCGAGGGTATATTGGGTCGAGTCGGTTAATGGTGATGCTTGGGAGGTGTGACGTGGAGACAGAAAGACGAAGGTATCGAGCCTGAGAATGAGACCAAGACGTGGTCAGACAAGATTCAACCCTAAGTATGGTTTTGCATGATGTAAAGGCCAACCACGAAGGAGGAAAGAACGCACGAGGGAGAGATGACGAAAACATCCGAGAAAAGAAAAGAAAGGCACGTACCTTGCCAGTTAGAGGCTGCTGAACGATAGCGACTTGCTTCCTTGTTTCTCTGGGAAACCACCAGGACTACAACGGCAACAAGGGTGTCAACAACATGCTTTTGGTCTTGGGCATCCAGGTCAAGTTTTTGGAGTCGCGCCGTTATAGGGGAATGGGGCATCGATGGTGTGTACCTGATCTTTGGAGATGGTCGTCAAGGAGAAAACCGCCAATAGGCTTGCAATTCTAGACAGCAAATGCCTCTCGAGTATAAGGAACCCAGCCTTGGCTGTGTAATTCCCTCAACCTTGATATCCCAAATTTGAGTTCCTTCGGGGGCTCGCAAGTGTAAACAGGGTTTCTGGTTCACTATAGTAGTCGGTCAGAAGGTAGATGCAAGGCACCAACGGACAAGACGATTGAGGAGCAAATGGATAGAAACCAAGTAGCTTGTGGAGCATCAGGGAACCAGTCTCCAAGTGAATACACCAAAGGGGAAAGCACTCTGATGTTTACATACCTTGCTTGACGTGTGGCTGCATTCAGGGAGTGCCCAAGTAGTACCACGCAGCTAGAACGTTGTGTTCGAATGCGAATGGACCGCGGCAGATGGATGTACCGTTCCAGCGCCACCAGATGAGAATCTCGGCTTATTAGTTGAATGTACGCGCTAACAGGAACGCTCTAGATGA